AGTTCATTGTAAAGGAACATGACGGCCAGAGAATCAGATTGTATCCGTGGCTTCTTTCAGAAGCTTGAAAAGCAGCTACTTTTCTAAAGTACAACCTAGCAATCAATATACAGGAATAAGAGCATCCAGAGCACAAATGCATGGTGTCCCCTTGTAGGATTGCAGCCTTCCGCATTTGGCAATTCTGACAAAAGCGGAGCTAATGTCCTCTGAAGTTCCGGGGCTCTAGGTCAGTGCGGATGCAGAAGTGGATCTCTATTGACATCTTTGTAAAGAATATACCGTGATCTAGTTCGACCTAAAGCAGCATACCTGCAGGACACGAGAAATTTGTTAGACTAAGAAGGCAAAAACTGCAGAAATCCATTCAATGTTCGAACTTACTTTGCGAAATTTTCGTCAGAAAAAGTACTTGCTAGAAATAGATGAATTGAAACGTGATTACTTATGAAACTACGATGGGTTGGGTCCTCATTCAACTCAGCACTCACCACTGTGGAACATAAGGTGCCATCCAGATCACGTCACCAGCTTGAACAGGATGCCTGAGTCAAGAACGAAATATGACATAAAAGAAATATAACAACCTCTGGAGCACTTCCTCAGGTTTCTGCTGGTTTTTAAATCACACAGTTTGGACCTGAGACGACGAAGTTCTGGGCCTTCAACTGAACTGTCCGTACCAACTCTAGACCAAGGCCCCGGCTGTTCCCTAGCATGGGAACAGCGACTGGAAAGAAAACTACTTGATAACTCAAGTGGAATAAGATAGTGAACTGTGCACAGAAGAGGTAAGCAATTTGGCAATCTACAGCTATTAATAGTGTTGTAACTTTGATGCACATTAAGCTGAAATCAAAGGACAAGACAATACCAATCTTTTCCAAGTCGGTAAATCCCCCGTCCTTCGAGTAGCAGAAGACCATGCTGGTTGTAATGTACTTCCTGAAAGGGAAAACCAAAGTACAGGCCGCAAGTCTGTTAAGCATGAGGATGATATAAATAGAGGCAATAACTGAGTTTTTGTGCTCAGCATATATGTATACAAAGAGTTTGAACTGTGGCAAAATGAAACTTGCACCACGAGGTTCTAGTTCAACATGAAAGATGTGCTAGTCTGTCAAAGTCCGTCTGTTTCAAGAATAAGCATGCACCTACAATCATGAGTCCCAGAGTCCTCGATACCTAGTACAGGGAAAAGGGACATAAGAGAATGATTATTGGAGGTTAGATATGTCTATTACAAAGACTGGGCAAGAAGTTAATGTACCTTCACATTCAAGTATTCTCCCGGTTGATAGTCCATGATCTAGGACAAAACGAAGTGCACATTTCAGTCAAGTCAATTATCCATAAATGGCGCGTTTAATCAAAGGCTTGACCGGGACTATAGAAATTTTGTGAAAACTCTCTCTAGAGTCGTAAGCTATTCGACAGGTCTCATCCTGGACTGCAGCAATGAAAAGTGAAGATTCGTAAAACTTTCATAATTATATACATAATCTTCAGATAGAGTATCTTACGTGGATATTGAAATCATATATGCCATTTGTGGGAAGCAGCTTCCGAAGCGCAAAAACCTACAAAATGTGCAATAAGGTGCGCAACAAGCAGCACCACCATCAATTGAGCAGGCATACCACACGTCTAGCCTTGGTCGATTACATTGTTCACATAACGGCTCTCATGTGGTGTATAGATAATGCAACAACACTGAGTTGCGCTATCTCCAGGGTATTGTTATCTCGATTACTTACCTCCCCAGGAGTATCCAGAAGGGGCTGCACATCCGTCACGCCCACTATCAGTTCTGGTTTTGTACTTCCTTCGTTGGAATACCTTCATTGGAAACAGCTGGACGTTCGTGAGCTGATTGAAATGAAGTCTTAACATGGAAAGATAAAAACCATCAATGCGCTTCAAAGTGTCAATGCACTATTTCATCTCCCTCCAGGTCAGACAGCTCAAACACAGGAGGTGTCGTACTACAGTGAGCAACATCTTCCTCTTCCATACGCACAGACACTCTGTTCGAGAATAGTAAGAATATACCTGCGCTCGAAAACGAGCAGCATGGAGGATCCATCTGATCGAATCTCATGGATTGCATCAGGAGGCACATAAGCATATCCATCCGCCTTGAAAAACAGCAGGCTTTGGAATCAGTTGGTGTGAACATACAAGATATTTTTGAGTAAGGTGTCGATAGGAGTAGCGAAGACAAAATATAGTATGCACCTGAATAAGATGATTCCGTCCTTCGCAAGAGAGTTCTATCTGACCGTCCACTACAAACACAAACCTGGAAGACATAGAAACGGTTTCAAGCAGTGTGTTCAAGTCAGGTGAGCAGCCCGCAAAAAGTGACAGAGTAATGTTTTGAATGTCAAGTAGATCATTCGTAAGTACCCAATGAACTCTCCAAAAAGCTAATTCGACGCAGGCACCCATTTCAGCTGACATAATTTTTCAGGGGGTATCATCATGTACTTGAAAGCCTCTAACTCTCTGCTCAAGCGAAGGTAAGAGTATCATTTGCATATCTGTGCTTAGAGGAAAAACATGACTTCAGACGGAAAAAAATTTTACCTCTCCACCCCCTTAGAAGGCTGAGCAGCGGAAGAGTTCCCTGCGGGAAAACACAGGCCGGGGCAAATGGAAACTTTTTCACTAGATTAAAAAAGTTTCAAACATGTAATATCTAATTTTCAATCGCAACAGGTCCAATAACAGAAAAATGTACTGAGGCCCTCCAGCTGATTCAGAAGATCAATAATTAAATCTCAGCAAATTCTCAGGTCGATCGGGAACAATTACCACTCACCCTGAAACTTGACAAAGTACATGGAAAAATGTGAACCCATGGCGGGAGTTATGAGAAACGCAGCAAGGCTGTTGATCCTGCATTGCATAGATGTAACACACAATGAAGTGCCTCCTAGGACAACAGGACATTCAATTGTGCCAAGTCAAAGATAAAAGACTTGGTCCCCACCCGAACCACACGTCATAACCTGGTCCATTGCCAAGTTGAGAAGATTACCAGCCACTGATAGAAGAGAAAACTTGACTCTCAGGAGTAATGAGAGCATAGTCCCGTTCATAAACGCTTCTGGTATAACCTGGTAAATCTGTAACCATACTAACTCAAAAGGTTAGCGAAACAAAGAGAAAATTGGGTGGAAATTTTAGTATTGCAAGGAAACGAATGAAGGCCACTGTAATGATGTAAACTCTTACAAAGCAGGTTAATCCAATCATCCACCCAGAATTGAGGAAATCACATCTTATGAAAATTAGTTCATACCATTTATACCGCGTGCCAAAGGCCAAAACAGGCAAAAAAACACACAAAACATAAAAACAACAGACACAGGAGACATGAGGTTCGAACCGACAATGCCAGAACCAAACGAGGTCAGTAAGGGCTCAGTAAGGGCTCTGGCGTTAAACTGTACACTGGGTTGGAGAGACTAGTAATACAGCTGAGTTTGTGAGAAAAAGGATTACACACCGTATAGGTGAATTGGAGCAAGTGTAGGCTCCACCACTTTGATGTATTTGTTTTGAACATCTTTAGCTTCAATGTGGTTTATTCGGCCGAACGCCTGAATTACTCCCACATCGTCACGATCTGTACTATGGTCATAGAAGACAATGCAGCCCAAGTTATCAATAGGAAGTTCAACAAATTGGCAAGTCAGCCACTGCATTACAGACAGGGCCAGTAAGGGAAATCCAGACTTCAGACAGGAAATTATTGTTGTTAAGCCGGAGCTTCTATATGAAGAAGCAATACTTTTCCAAAGGGTTCTTCCGGCAGGACCCAGTTACGAAATTTCGTTCGTCTTGGAATCTCAACCATAAAAGAAACTAAGTACAGCAGTAATTCAGCCACATAATTTAAGCAAAGTGCAGGGAAAAACAACCCAAGGATCAATTCCGCAGCAACGCGAATAGAAAGCTTTGCCGAACCTTGTTCCCGATTCTACAAAATTGCACGAACAGAAATGATCACCAAAGCTTCTCCGTCAGTAGTACTCATACCTGGACACGAATCGGCAGAAACGAAATCCGAACTGGATGGACGCATCCAAACAGCCGAGAGCAGCAGAAGAAGCACGCTCTGATAAATCTTCATCTTCCTCATCCGCCTGCACCAAAATCGATGTGCGGTCTGCGAATTGCTCTACAGAACCACCGAGCGGAGGTGAACCATTCTCCCTCTGGCGATGTAGCTGACAACCTGCGTGACCTCGTGCATTCCGTGAGTATTAATCAAATCTTGCTTAAATTAAGAGTCACAATACATTGATTTTGATGGGGGCTGTTTAGCTCCTCGTCTCATTTCCATGCGTCGCCTTTTTTCTTTTTTCTTTTTTCTTTTTCCCAGCGAGAGGCGTCGGGGTAAATTACCCTCACGCTCAACCTCTGAACGGGGTTGGGGTTGTTTTCCAGTTGTATGGTTGTGCTTGTTCCTCCTCCCCCTCTCTGCGTGATCGCATCTTTGTTTATTCCTCCGTGTATAAAAGAATAGACACGTGGATTCCACGAGGGATTGGGAGACCGTCGAATGGCAAAAAGGGACGATGTGTATCCACCAAGGCACACGGAAGCCAAGCCAAAGTCCCTTTGGTCCATGGGCCTGAGAGAGTCCTCGCCAGCCCTGTTGGACTGCGGCGCGCCGCCAGCCAGGGCCCTCGAACTCTTTGCTCCAAAACCAAGTACTACGTGAAGCGAGTAATCTAAAACCCCATCTAATATCATCGAAATTCCCCTTAAAGTCTATCTAGAAATAAAAAGATTTACCACATGAAAGATATACAAATCCACTAGTGCTAGCACTATCAATCAGTCAGTTCTACTGCACTTTGACACCCACTACACCCCTCATCTACGTTGTGAAAGGTACACGGCTGCAGTCTCATTCATGCCACAGTCTATACTAAAGTAAAACGTAAAAATAGTTTATAATGTTTTCTATCGCAGACTTTGCCAAGTATGCGCAGCTGGTGTAGTGGTATCATAGTACCCTCCCACGGTACTGACCGGGGTTCGATTCCCCGGCTGCGCATTTTAGACTCCAACACTAGCAGTGCCGTCAAAGGTTTTGAGTATCCAGTTTCTTGACCTCTGTTTTCGTGTCTCGGGGTCCTTGCCATAGTCCTTAGCTGTACTGTTATTAACCTCCCGTTAGTTCAGCCTGGATCATATAAATGATATCTCATCCACTTGCTCTTTTATAGTCTACTATAGTAGAAGTAACATGGGACTAGACCCCACTAGTATCACACTAAAATATGTCCATAGACCCCAATAGTTCAGCCTGGATCATATAAATGATATCTCATCCACTTGCTCTTTTATAGTCTACTATAGTAGAAGTAACATGGGACTAGACCCCACTAGTATCACACTAAAATATGTCCATAGACCCCAATAGTATCACATTGGGAAATATGTCTTACATCACCTAATATATCTTAATTATCCAAGTCAAAAGGTCTACAAACAACATATAATCCGAAAAAGCATCACATCACCTAATATATCTTAATTATCCAAGTCAAAAGGTCTACAAACAACATATAATCCGAAAAAGCATCACCTAACGTGATTGTTCTCATATGGATTGCACCAACTAGTGCTCTCTTCTCTCCCTTTAGTTCAGCCTAGATCCTACAAATGATATCTCATCCACTTGCTCTTTTATAGTCTACTATAGTAGAAGTAACATGGGACTAGACCCCCATAGTATCACACTCGGAAATATGTCCATAGACCCCAATAGTATCACATTGGGAAATATGTCCTACAACACCTAAGATATCTTAACTATCCAAGTCAAAAGGTCTACAAACAACAGATCATCCGAAAAAGCATCACCTAACGTGATTGCTCTCATATGGATTGCACCAACTAGTGCTCTCTTCTCTGTAGAGCAATGGAAACATGTTGCCTAAAATATGCTATACAGTAAGCTAAAGAGAGTGATACCCCATGTCGCCTAGTATGGTAGGCTCTTGCGCACTCCCTCACGAACATGTCGAAGTTGGTGTCCATAGCTCCATATAACTCCAAAGCTAGAGGAACAAAGAGGTGACCTCTCTACATACCTCTATACTTGGAAACCTTGCCTGCTGCAGCTCCACTCGCCGCCCATCCTGGAGGATGAGTGATCACCCCCTCTGAAACTGTGTCTTTAGTAGGATCAGTAACCACCACATCAGCCATAGTGACCTGGTCCTCCCGAACCAAGTATAGGGCAGACCTATACTGCAAGACATACCAACGCTCTCTCCATTTGAGGTATCCACCCTCTGGCGCCATAGCAAACACCACATCCCTAATGGCATCATGGGTAGCTATCCTCTGCCCTCTGAATCTAAAGTGATACCACACTCACATGTGAGTAATGAAGATGTAGATGGATGGACCAAGCCAAGACGGAACCTCATAGTTGTGGAGAAAGTAGCTGGTACGAGTCGGAAAGCCCTGATGCAAGGTCGAGCCAAGATCCACGAGCTTGCATCCTTGCCTGAGCAAGAGCGTAGATGAGCTCTAGTAGTACGAGGAATGGCCGGATCCACTAAGAGTGAATGTAGAGCCTCCTAAAAACGTTTGGTCCATCAAGATAGACTGTAGACCCCTAGTCCAATCGGTAGCCAAAGAGTAAAAAGATGGGAACTCATGTCGTATCTCCCGTGGTAAAGCGTCTCTCTTATGTCGTAATAATACATGTAAGGGAAATGATCCCGTATCAACGTCCCTCGTATATATCTCCAAAATAGGTCTATCTGTGATCACAAATCGAGAAGATAACAAAGGTGCAACGAGTGCCCAACTCGCCAAGAATGCCGCAGGTGCCGTCTCCTCCATCGATAATAGGCCTACCCCTCCACACGAAATTGGCAAAGATGTCTGTCTCCTTGCCAAATCTCCAATCACACACTCGAATATCCCTGGTCCGATGATGTCACCAAAGACAGTCATGATCCTCCTATCAAAGGCAGTCAAACGTGATATGAATGTAGATGAAGGAGGAACCGTGTGAAGAAGATAGGTCTGTCGACGAGCAATACTAGATGATAGTATACCAAACGCCACATGCGGATCCCCTAGTAGAGGAAGGTCGTCTACATGCAAAACATCCTCGGCCAATGCAACGTCAAGGTAGCGTGAAACAAAATCCTTAGACCCTACTGGCACTCCTAGAATATGTAAGCCATCTGTCGATATCATACATCCCTCTGGAAGCTGAAGATGAGGCGGAATGCCCAAAGGAGATCAAGCCCTACACTTTGACACCTTGACCCTCAAGCCTACAAGATGAAGCTCAGTAGTCAAGTAATCAAAAGGCCGCCTAATGTCAGTTTGTCACAGGGCCCACAATATGTGTATCATCAGCTAAGGAGGGGAACACACAACCGGACACGGCCAAAGCAGTAGATAGAAGAGCTCTATAATGAGCCATGGCAAATAAGGGTACTCCCAAAGGATCTCCCTGTCGAGTGTCAGCGGCGGTGTCGTGTTGTGACGCGGCTACTATGAGAAGATGATGACATGTGTCATCTTCAGAGCTGTTGTCATGACGGCGATACTTTAGGTTAGGATAACCGACGGCGCACTGTAAGGTTGTTAAGAGTCCACCGTTGGATCAACTTTGTAGGGTCATGATGTTGAAAAGGCTCCAAGAGATATTATCTTGGACCTTATCAGATATAAAAGCGCAATCGATGGAAAGGGTATGGGAGAGAGCTAGACACATCACTTTGCTGACTAAGGAGCTTATCCGATCGAAGTGGAGCCGACGAGGACATGGATAGAGGACAACATGATCGTCCAAATGTACCGATGCGTAATCCATTTGTGATCAACATCCGGTGTCTTCATCGTGATCATTTTCGGGCGTGGTTAGTGTATCATTTTGGAGATAACTTTCTACAAGAAGTGATAAACTCTCCGCACCCGATTATTCTTCCGCTTGTTTCCTCTGTTATAATTTTGGGGCGTAACTGGTATGCGTTTTGATTTAGTTTGGGCGCTATGGATCTGAACTTACCAGTAGTGGTGGCTTTCAACACATGGGTTCCAATCCATCACTGTTGCTTATCAAAAATAAGCCATAGAGAGTTGATTGTTAGTAACTTTGACGAGGAGTATTATTCTCAAGTTATAAACTCCCCGGTTCCGTTTGTAGTTCCGTTCATACTTAACCGATTTCGAGTTGTCATTTTGATTCTTTATTAGTGACAAATCGTATTGTGTATAGGATGGCTAACTAGTGTGTTTAGGATAGTTGTAAAGCTCTAAGTTAAAATGGAGCTAATTTGGGCACACTAGAGGTCAAAATAACACTCTTCATTCTCATTGATCTTGGAGTTTGGACCAATGAGGGCACTTGGGCAACTTCTTCGATGTTTTGAGGTATTTTGGAGACCTTCTAGGGGGACATTCAAAGATCTGAGGATTGGGTTGGAGAGCTGACGGGACGAGCTACGATGTGGGCTCAAGAATGGATGGATTTGAAGGATTTGTCATTCTAAAATGATGATTCAAAGATAGAATGAGAAATTTAGTCTTTGAGTGTATTTGTGGTGTTTCCGAGAATCTTACAAGGGTATTGGGAGATCTGAGTTGCGTGTGATATAGTTTACGATTTGGGCTTACGTTTGGATTGAAATTTTGATTCAATTGGATGAGTTTTGAGTATGGAGTGATAGCTTGAAGTTTGTGTATACAATCAAAGTATCTCGCTCCTTGGCACTCAAAATGTTTATCAAATCACCTTTATAAAGATGCAACAACACCACTATGTCATTATGAATGTCTTGTAGTCTCAAAAAGCCCTAGAATCTAACTTGCATGGGAAGCTAACCACTCCCACGACCCCGATGGTATACCCGAAATGCTCAACGAAGGAGTCGATGTAGTCTGTGTGTTCCTCAAAGTGACAAAAACCGATGTCGATCGATTTTTGTCACTTCGGGCATGCGCATCCCAAATGGTCCAATCATAATCTTTGTGCATCTTTCCCACGTGAATCTTTACCCCTTGCGAGTTAAAGAGACAATGACACACCGGACATGGTGTATCGCGCACCACTTTTGGCGGTCCCATGAGAGAAAGTCAAAGCTATAGCTAGCACAAAGGGAATGATAAAGAAACCCAGCACTCCATCATGTATCTACTCCCACCTGCAGAACCACAACCCCTAACACACCACATCACATTGTAAAATGCTAACTATGAAAACACTAAAATCTAAAAATATTTATAACTTTTTATTTAGATTTCCATAATTTTCCAACTAGATTCCAATGGAACCTATACATGAAAAAGAAGAGATGTTAACAAAAAAAACCCGAACCATATGTCTAATCGAAAAAAAATCACTCAAAATGCACTCATAACCCTAAAAAAATAAAAACACTCATATTTCACAATATCATTCTCCATAGTCTTCAATTTAGATACCAATGGAACCCAAATTGAAAGACAAAAAAATAGACTATTAACTCTCCATATTTGGCAAAGTACGGCCACATAACTACTACTCATAATATAAGTTCTCACACACACGCACCTTCTCGCCCTCTCAACACTCATACAAATAGAACGGGTCATAGTCTACTCTATGAACACTGAGACAAATAGAAGTAGGTCATAGTCTACTCGCCAACAAGAAACTCTCTCCATTCCCGATGTGATGGTGGACTCTGAAAAAGTATTGATTCTTTTATGGACATGGTAATTAGTGCTCTATTCTTTTCTACATGGAACAATATATTTGAACATGACGTTGCTATGCTTAATATTCGAAGAACTCAAACTTCCTTATATAATAGCGCCACCACATGCGATGGAAGCAAACGGGTCGATCCTCTCCGAAAATTTCTTGCGTGGATTCTTGCCTTGTAATTTTCAAATCCTCAGTTTCGTTTAAAGTGGACTCTACCTCGACCCTCCAACAATCTTCTGTGCAAGAGGAACACCATCTAGAAGTAAAAGGACTCTAGACCCCTAGCCAAAATTCAGAATAGCAGTCGTCGCCCATACCAAGAAAGAAGAATTTCCGT